TTTGAAGGTATCTCATCTGGTGTCTGTGCTTCAGCCATGCAGGTAGATCTTTCCATAGCCTTACTTTATTTATTAAAATAGCAATTTCAGGTTTTTAAGCTATTGGACCTGTCTATGTGATAGGCCAAAATGAGCTCATAGTATCTTAGTTATTCACAATGTAACAGTTTTTTTTCTTACTGTTATTATGAACACTTTTCTATTCTTCTATTTTCAGCATTGTTGAATCACTTTAAACGTTTTATGTATGCCTAGTTACTCAGTCCACAACTATGAGTTCTGCCCACGATAACTCCAACTTAAAGAATTCTGATTAGCAGTAATTTTTCTCTCCTGGGTTTTCTCTGTGTGCAAGCCTCTCTCATGTCACACATGGATTCATCCAGCTCTCAACACTGCCATGATCATTTGCTATTATTTCCATCATGGAGTTATTTCCCAGAAACTCTATGGCTAGTTAATTCTTCCTGTAAACACCATTAGTCTTCTCTTATGATTCACAATATAACATTTAAACTCCTTAGACTATAAAAGTTCTATTATTAAATGATACTCAAACAAGCCCTCAGAAGTCCTTATATTCAATCAAATCTTGTTCTCAATCTTCCAAAGCTTGAAACCTCTCCACCAGAAGGGTGAATACAGTAGTACTGCACCAGCAGCAGGTAGCCATTGACTGTTCCACTGTTGGTAGAGCAATTACTACTGCTGGTAGAACAAGTTGTTCTGGTTTCAAAAACTACAAATGTATTATTTGTCAGTCTGGAGGTTGGGAGCACACAGTGAGTTTTAGAGAGGACAAGATGAAGTATCTGCAGTATGGCTGCACTTCTGACTGTTGAGGAGAATCTGTTATCTTGTCTCCCCAGCTTTCAGAGCTTTCCTATGACCTGTGGTACTTCACTCTATTATGTATCATACTCCTAGACAATGAATCCAGAACCCTCACACAGAGCTTCACTCTCATTTCTTCTTAATATTTTTTGGGACACAGGATTTAGCTAAGTCACTAAATTGGTCAGACTGGGTTTGAACTTCCGTACCTCTTATCTCAGCCTTCCACACTGGTGGGATTACAGATGTGCAGCTCCACGCCTGGTATGACTCCATTAAAGCCAACAGTATAATAATTTCTCTATGGTCCATTTACTCCTTGCCTAAATCCTGCTAGTGAAGTCTCTAATGAGCCCTCATTATGCAACAGTTGTGATTCAATTTAATGTTCATCCAAATAATCTAGAAAAATACCTTATCTCAATATTCTTCATCCCCTCTGAGAAGCCCCACATAGAGTAAGAATCACAGGTTCTGGGGATTAGAACATGGATATTTTAAAGGGTTTCTATTCAGCCTGCTTTATCAGACAATAATTTCTAATAATAATATTAATAATCCCTGTTCTCCAACTGGATTTTAGATAACTTCCCGGATTATCTTTCCTTCACTGTGTTAAACTTCATGGGAACCTACCTTCCTGCACCAGGGACCAGTTAGGCAGGTCAAACTAAACTGAAGCACACACATAGAGATGAAGATAGATTTCAAACAACTTACACATTTCTGAAAGCAGAAGATTCCAGTCCACCACACTCAGCATAATAAGGCAATATCCCCTGCTTTAATTATCATCAAAAAAGAACCCGACATCAACCAATCATTTTTTTAAAGTTATGTTTCCTCACTCCCATTCTGCAAAATCCACCTTCTGTCCTTGCTTTAGGGAGCTTGTATGTACTTTGTAGAATGAAAGCCACCCTAATTTATTTGTGATGTAACTCACTTTTTACAAAGTTTCTTCTTTTGAAAACTCTTTCCCAAATCGTGAAATGACTTTCTGCCAATCAACAGTGTAATTCCATTTATGAACCAAAATTACATAATGTTTTAATAGTACCTATAATGTTCACATCAGTGCATTAGGTACTGTGTGATATTTAATGATGTGGTCCTATTTTCCACAAACAAATGTGCTGAAGAAAAGTAACATGCTGTGTGTAATTACTGAAAAGGGAAGAACTTGTTTTTACTGACCGTCCTTACTCTTTTTTTTTCCTTGTCAATCCTTTTTAAATAGCATTTGTCTTTAATATTCATCAGCAGCTGATCTGACCCAGGACCACAATATCTGTGATTGTTTTTGCATTTTCTTTTATTTTTTTCAACAGTGTTGAAGAATATTCTGTCTCTATTCAACCAATCTGAAAGGTGGTTTTAATAGGAGCTCTCCAGAGAGGCAAATCCCCTGTCAGAGGTGTGCATACATGTATGTAAAATGCTGCCCACCTGTTTCAGCCTGCTGAACTGCCCTGCAAATTTCAGAATTTTCAGCTTCTACAATTCTGTAAGCAGTTCCTTAGAACAAATTATCTCTGTCAGATTTTCCGATGTTCTCAGTTCTCAGTTAGAAGTTTTGCTAAATCTTCTTCCTGTGCTCTGAAGTTTTGATGTCTGTGGCTCAGGAGTGTTCTATGCCTTTTTTTAAATCTATATCTTCTTATGTTGTGAAAACTAAAAAGTCAGACTCAGGATTTCAGAGTCTATGTTTACTGCAAACAAGTACGGTTTCACAATGCAAGAAAATAGAGACTGTGATGATTCAGTGTGTGTTAACTTGGTCAGGTCCTAACACCTTGTTTTTGGTCAAAAAATTGCTGGGTGGGTAATTTTAAGATATAATTAATCTTTAAAGCAATATACTTTGAGTAAAGCAGATTATTTTCCATTAAATGGGTGAACCACATTCAATCAGTTCAAGGCCTTAAAGAAAAGGTTTGTGTAACCAAAGGAAGAAAGAATTCTGCTTTTAGATTGAAATATCAGCTCTTCCTTGAATATTCAGCCTGCTGAACTGCCCTGCAAATTTCAGAATTTTCAGCTTCTACAATTCTGTAAGCAGTTCCTTAGAACAAATTATCTCTGCTTCTACCTCTCTCATTCTTATCTCTGCTTCCATCACCTTCCTTTCCAACTTGTCTTCAGACATTTTATAAGGACCGTTATGACTGCATCTGGCCTACTTGGAGGATCCAAGATAATCTCCTCATTACAGTACCCTTAACATAATGCAATCTACAAAGTTTCTTGTGCTCCATAAATTAAAATAGCAACAAGTTCTGGGATTAAATCATAGTCTTAATTTTAATAGTTTCACAGGCTCAAGTTTTGAGAAATTTTTTCTAGAAACTGTATGCATTTATTTAGCTGATCTATGGAAATAAAAATATTTGGACCACTTCAAGTTCCCTGGGAAGCTTTTCATTCAGACTGAAAGATAATATAAAAAAGACTCAAATATATCAAAATAATTCAGTAAAAGGAGTCCACAGAAATTTGTTTTGTTCAAATGAATTTATCCCTTTCTTTATGAACTCATTTAGAATATTTTAACTGGCCACCCTTTTTGTTTTAAACTTGGATTACCATACTTTAAAAAATTTTTCACCAATAACAAGCTTTGTAATTGGATTTCTCTGTCTTCTTGAAATACTGTGAACAACAACAAAAAAAAAGAAACAAAGGAATACTGTGAGTAAACACTGAACTCTCTCTTTCCTTTAGGCACTGTAAGGTGTTCCATCCCCACCTTGTATCTACACTGATTGAGTCATTACTTAGATCCTTTCAAGATTGGTATTAAACATTGTAATCTAGAAGCTGGGTTTGCATAGTAGGTTCATATTTGTCACATTACCAATGTTGCTAGGTCACTTCAGTGTGCAGAAGTACAAAAACAAATATTAAGATTTCTTTAAAATAGGTTTACTTATTTATATTTCCACTTTTAACATGGACACTTCCGTTTAATTTTAAATTATTTAAAAATTGAACTGTTTTTTTCTCATAGTGAAATACTTCTGACTAAATAAACATGCCTATGTATTTTTTGTATAACAATCCCAAAATAGGCTAAAAGAGATGTTAACATTAAATATAAAACACTAAGATAAGTTCAACTTTCCCTATATAGTAATTTCCTCTTCCAGGAAGCATCCCAATAGATATATACACACAATGTACTTTGGTGCAGACTCATTCATAATTTACTACATGGCTACAGAAGTATTTATTCGATGTATGATTTGTTGCAGTTTATTTCAAATTCAGAGCATTATCACTCCAACAGATGACAGTTGTATATTCTTAGAAACTGTCATTTTAGATGCTGCTATTTAGATTCTGGTGGAAAGTGGTAGAAAGTAGCATTACTGGTCCATTTCATGAGATATGGAAAGAGAAAAATCAGCAATTTAATCTCCAAAGCCCCGTCTAAGTGTCTCACTTAGCCACCATCTGGTCTGTCTGCCATGGCTAGATGCGAGGTTATATGCACAGGATTCATATGTACAACTTCAGCTTCAGCAAAATTCCGTTTTCCATATTCACTTTCAAACAATGTTAAAATCTGTATATGTTCACATATTCAATTAAAATTTAACTTTACAAATCCTATTCTGATACATTATTTTATTTACCTTCTTCACTTTAATAAGATGAAAGCTTATTTCATTTTATATAACATAATATAAGTTTAGTATATCTTCTTACATATTGTTGATAATGTTTGCAAATGTAAATATTAATTCCCAGTTAGTATCGTTAGTTCATACAGCAAATTTTTTTGTTCAAGGAGGATTTTGAGGATGACATGTAGTATCTTGGAATGGAATATTTTTGCTAAGTCAGTACATAGGCAAAGTTTTTTTGAAAATTTACCTAAGGCTCTCTTTTTGCATATCACTATATATATGTGTATTCAGAACCCTTTTGAATTATACTCTAACGAAAAATTTTAATGTATCTATTGTTAAAATGCTTTGCACATTCAACCTTATTAAAATATTAAATAAAAATACATCAGCAACAAAGTAATTAAATTAGAAAAACATTTTTGCAAAAATGTGTAAGACTTGTGCCTTGAAATATTTCTACATATTTCAAATAAAAATTTTTCTGCAGAATCAGAACAATTAAGATTGCCTAGCTGATTAAAACACACTTACTCTGGATTTGGTGGTATAGGTCAGTGATTTCAGCATTCAGAAGTCTGAGTGAGAAGGATCTCAAGTTCAAGGCCAGCTCGGGCAATTTAATGAATTCAAGACAAACGATGTAGGTAGTGAATTTCTGTGTCTGAAAAACAAAGACAAAACAACAACAAAATCATATTTATAGAAAACTAGATTATATAATTGTTACACACATTAGTAACCATATTTTCTTTTTAAAATTTCTGTTCTATTTTATTTTTACTTTTATTTTCACTTTTACTTTAGAGTTTAGCTATAAATTCTAGTACATAAATGAAATCAGTCAGAATAAAAGGATAGCACTGCACCAACTGACAATTTTGTGTGTAGTAACTGTCTTCATTAATATAAAATAACAACACATAATTATTTGCTAAACAGAAATTTGTGTCATTATGTATTCCCTTACATCTTTTAAAGACTACACAGATTTTCTTTGAATCTTTTTAGTCTTCACACTTTTTACGAAAAATGAACAAACATTAAAATTACTAAATTAAAAAAAAAACTATCTTCAAGCAGTTATTTCTTACCTAATGCTCCACCACGAGTACAAAATTTTAGTTTTTTTATAATATCACACTATGTAAAGAGGTAATAATTATTGTTTATAAAACAGGTAATTCATGGAGTTTTAAGTAACATATAAATATTTTGCCAGAGTCATTCTCTTTCCAATAGAAGCACACACTCCAGGAAACTATTCAGATGTAAGTTTTTTATGTTTTCAGAACAATCATTTTGTTTGCATTGAAGTATTTTGTTTTGTTTGTTCATGGTTCCTAATCCAAACCAACATTTTTGAGACGCTAAGATCCAAACACATTTTTAGATTCAATATATCTGTGTTACGTATTTGTTGAATCCTCCTACTCTGAGCTTCTGTTTGAAATTCTTTATCGTCAAAAAAGTGTATAGAACACACAAAGCCACATGCATATTTTGAAATAGAATGCCTACTTGTCTTATGCAGTATAGGACTCACTTTGAAGAGGGAAATTACACCAATGTCTTTCGGTGAAGAGCTGAGCGCTCTCTCAGATGTTCTGAGTCCTTTATCTTTACAGACAGCTATGACAAAGTCCAAAGTCTCCTGGATAATGCCCAAACTGTTCAGTCTAATTGTACCGCAATCTGCAGGGCTTCTGGTACTTCCGGAAAAACGCATTCCCGAAGCGCTTGGAGACTTGATGTGTATGTGGCTCAAGATAACTTTAGGAACAGGGGAAGAGGAGAAACTCACCACCTGTAAGACTGCTATCACCTAATGAGGAGGCAAACTCAGCTCTTACATTTAGAAGCTCATAGTCAGACGTGGTAGTGATCAATAAATAGGAGGGCTCCTTACATGTGTGTTTGAGTATTTTAATGCTTACTTTCATTCTCTTTCTCTATCTCTCTTTCTCTGTCTCTCCCCCCCTCTCTCTATTTCTCTCTGTCTCTCTGCTCTCTGTCTGTCTCTCTCTCACACACACATACACACACATATACACACACACACAAACACAAACAAACACAAGCACAAGCACACGCCTTCGCGCGATTACTCCAGCTGATGGAGTGGGTTTATTGCGGGTCTTCGGATGTCTTCGAGATGTGACTATATAATGGTTCCTAGAACCAAGTAGAGAAAACTATAATTTTGAATGATCTCTCTTTTATCAATAGTAAACTATAAATTTGGGACCATGACTATGCACTATTTTACAAGTGGGACTTCAATGATCCCTCTAATCCTAGAACAGGGACATACGTGTTGAAGGCTGATATGGATGTAAGACAAAAAAACAGGACACCTGATAATTCTATGATACTTTATAGGAAATATTAAGAGATATAAGGGGGACATGGCATTCAACAAATAATCAATTGTGATTCATAACTAAGAGGCCGACAATGTCAGCCCAGACCATGGAGGAGAGGCAGGGAGGAAGAAGAGAATGAAAAAGCTTCAGTGATTTGTCCAGACTGGCTCCTCGTCCAGTCCATCCATTTTTTGGTTTGTATCTCAAGCCATGTTACAGAAAATAAAACTTTCTGAATTTATAATGGGATTTTGTCATCATTTTAAAATTTTTTACCTCCAGAAAGAAAGTTGGCAAGATTAATTTCGTATGAGCAGATGCTTAAAATCAGATGTATTTATTACCTCATAGTTTCTGTGGTCAGAGTTCAGCTAAGTCATCTACTGTGAGTCTCAAAATCGGCAATCAATGTATCAATCAGGCAAGGTTAATGGTGGAAGCCTGGTGATAGAGACGAGATGAAAATGTCAAACACAATCCATTTCTCCATGGATTTTATGACACAACGGAAAAGTTCACTAGTGAATGGGTGAGATCAGTATAATACATTATTTATGATATGGAAAAGTTAGAATTTTGTGATTGATTGGCTGTATCTAGTATGTCACAGAAGCCAGTCAAGAAAGACACCGGGGTTTTGATTTAAGCAATTTTGTGGCTTGTGTGTCATTTGGTGATTTGAGTATATGGGACTAAAACCAATTATTTGCCTTTAAGAATGCTTTCTCAGAATAATAAATCATTTAATTAATGCCCATGTACTATATTCTGCTTTCTACTATACATTTACATATAAATAAATATGTACCAGCTTCATAAACAACTTTACTAGAGAACCAGCTTGTCCCTTCTTGCTTATCCTTAATTAGCAATATCATTCCCTTGACATGGCTGATTGAACCAAGCATAGCTATCCAGCCTCAGAGGAGCCAATCTATAATCTAATCAGAATTAATCAGATTCCCTTTTGAGAATTTGAACTAAGATGCACAGAAACCTATTAAGTTGCTAGCTGAGGTAATGGCAGATGATTAGTGTAAAGGTCCATGAACTGCTATAGCTGAGCTCCTTAGAGCTCTGTTGCAAAGCTTGCTGAAATACAAATGTTCTATTTTTCTTCAAATTAAAAAAGCTAAGATAATAAATCCTGTTATCTTGGGCTATATTGAGTAGACTTTACAGAATGCAATTTTTCCTCCCCAAAATATGTTGAAGACTAATGTCTACTAAATGGTCAAGAAATAAATCTTAGATCCTACCTTAGTACTATGGGATGAATTGTGTCTACTTGGATTTAATAACAGAAAATCAATCAAGGTATGCTTTCTATATCTGATGCATCTTTTTACAGGTCCTTTCTTTATTGCTGCATATATACTTTGGCATTTTCATTAGCATCATTAATATGTTTACCTTGGTTTCTCAGCCATACCTCAAAATCCTAAAAGAAGAATTTTCAGGTTCTATTATATCTTCCAGCGTTCTTAGCATAGAAATTTAGATAATACTTGTTGGCATTTTGACGAATTTGGGAGGATATTATATTTCTGAAGAAAAAAATGTGACATATTTAACTTTGAAGAAACCAAATCTCTCAGGACAACCACAGTTACTATAATCGAGTATCACTCAAGAAGTTATGGAATTGAATTATGAACATAGTATTTCAGGTTATTATGGGAAACACTGAAAGTTGGAGAATATACATTTTGAATCCATCCTCTGATTTTGATACATCACATATCATGTTTCATACCTTAAACTTCACTGAAACTTTTGATGTCCCTCTAGAAAATTCAACTACTGTACCTACCATGACTTTATATCATAGGTCTAATGAAAATAATAGACAATGGTAATTTAGTGCTTGATACATTTCTCTGAAATTAATTTTCTTCTCAACATATATTCATCTTATTAAGAGAAATATTAACTGATATGCCCTAGCTATGAGACATTGTGTGAGGAACAGGTCCATTATGGGAAACAAGAAGTAAAACCTAAATTCAAGAAGTTTACAGTCCACTGTAAATTTTTACACACATTTATAATAAATTTAAAGTATAACTAAAAAAAAATCTATTTGGAATAGTACTTAAAAATATTTTCAGTGAGTTGTGTTAAGTCACTCACTCATTTCTTCTGGGATTTTCATGAGAGAGCATGGCTTCAAGCAGTAAATTTCATCCTTCCCTCTTCAAAATATCTTCTGCATTTTATAGTTATGCTAGCAATGCGCAGTCATTTCACCCAAATATAACACTTAAAAATCTAAATCTTAGTAGTTTTAAATGTATTGGCAACTAATGTTTTAATTTAGCACTTGATTACTTTGTACACTTTTACCAAAGCAAATGTGTAAGCATTGGATGAAAAAGTTGTACGAAGTTGTGTGAGCATAGACAACACAATATCCACCTGATATGCTACCTCCTCAGGTAATTTTGTGAGGTTAAAGAGTGTGAGAATTTGTGTTTTATTAAATAGTTAATCCATCATATTTACAGAAAAGGGTAGTTCTAGAAAGTCGTCTTTGGCATGAAAGTATTATGAGAAACCAGAATCACCAGAAATTTTATTTAAGCTCTAAAAGAGCATTTTGGCATTAGAATGCCTCTCCAAGTCAAATCTTTCTCCCATTTTCCTGTTGCTTGAGGTTATTTTCATTGCTGTGTTGAATTTGTTTTCAGTTTCTATTCAAGGATTAAAATGTAGATATTAAACACATTGCTTCCATACTAGCAGGTGCTTGGAGAACTTCAAAGCCCTAGAATTTAGGTCTGCTTGCTGGCCATTTACTTTTGGGACAGATCAATTTGCATGTTTCTTTTACCCTTCTAACGTATCCTTAGAAGGAGATACTGACAATATGAGTTATGATTTCACATCCAACTAATTCCTTTAATCTTAGATACTTCTTTACCATGAAATATTCCCTTCATATGTAACATTTATTCCTTAATTAGGTGAAACATCTAAACTACATTTGCTAATCTGGTTCCCTTTATTACCCTACATAAAGGACCTCAACCTTACTTACCCCTGTAAGTTTAAAAATACTATATTCCCATGATTAATTGGTTTTTTTTTCCCTAATCTTGCACACATGAGCTAGCATGCTTGGGTTTGCCACTGCTTCTTCTTAAGAAATTGAAAATTGGTATAAAATGAAGTGTTTTCCCTTGTGTCTCTAAATAATTATCACTGTTCCTAATAATTCATGCAAGAATTATGTGATTCTTTTTCAAATCCTGAATTACTAAAACATCATTATACATCAATTAATTATCCAAGCCACATGTGATATATATAAACATATTCCCATTAGATAGTTTCATTTGTGCTTTGATTGTTTGAACATGCCTGCCCTTAGTCTTAGGCATAAAACCAAGATTAAAAAAAACCAAAGACCAAAAAAAGGACCATAATTGTCAGTTTACCTTACATCTCCACCGGTTTTCCTGCACTTTTTTAGAGTTAACACTTCTACCTTAATTAATTGAATCATTTAATTTATACCTGCCATATTGAGCAATCATAAACAATCTGTTATAGAGTAGGTGTTCATTGTACTTAGTTACTACAATCTACTGTGACTGCTGAAATTCATTTCTTTATCTTAAACTAATGTGAGCCTTTCTTCCCCTCATGCATTTTCTCTTCCCTTTTTAGGTCACAGTAATGGGTGTGCAATTCATCCAAAGACTGTATTGCTATACTTTTTGGAACACTGTTCTAGGGAGTATAAACGAATCTGGCACTCATTTAAATCATATTCCCATTATGGAAGAGGAGGTAAAATCAAATTCAAAAACTGGCAAAGCTTTAGGACAAATTTCACCCATGGAATTGTTTATGTGGATTACACAATTTCTTCATGTTAATTTTTATTTCTTAAGGAGAGAGCATGCATTCTCCTCCATTTTCTTATATCAAGTTCATTTTATATTTATATCCTTCCCAAAATATGCAATTCTCTGAAATACAAGGGGTCTAGGTTCCACAGAGCCATTCAAAGGCAATAAAAACTTCATGTTGTCTTACAGTATATTTAACTCCATCACTGATTTCTTATTACATATTAGACTACGAAAGCAAGACATTAGGGTGTTAAATGTGAACAAGCAATGTAAGTCCCTCTTGCCTAAGGAGAAGCAATGAATGATCTCATTTAATTTGTGGAAACTTGGACAGAAAAACTCTGCAAATAGAATTAAGTACTGTGCCTCACTAAATAAGCTCAAGG